GCTCCCGGCTGGTGCGGAGACGAGAAGTTCTAGAAATAAAAGACACAAGACACAGAGATAGAGAAAAGAGAGTTTGGGCCCAGGGGTCCACTGCTACCCAAATCTCAGAGACCAGCAGTGGCCCCGAATGCCAGGACACTCTCACTTATATTGAGTTGCAAATCTGGGGACAGGGTAGGTAGGGCATGGCCTTGGTGGTCAGCGACTGGGGACAGGGTAGATAGGGCATGGCAGTGATAGGGTCAGGTACATCACGTGTCATTCAGGTAGGGGCTCAGGAATTTCTGGTACCCGAATTAAGGTAAGGAGCATAACGCATCAGCACTTTTTCCATACTTATAAAGAAAGAACTAAAACGTTAAGATTTATATTACTATTACTGATGATCTTTTCTAAGACAAAAAGAACCAGGTGCAGAAGCAGAGCATGAGAGTAGACATGGAACATGACCGCTGAAGCACAGCGTCACACCGAGACAGTTAAGCCCCCGGATGTCTGCGGGCCTCTTGACAACCATCAGGCCTCACCCCAAGAGCTTGGAGAAGCGGGGTTTTCTCCAAACTTCCCCAGAAAGGAGATGTCTCAGCCATTTTGGAGGTCTCCTTCCCTAGCTGACTAAACAGCGGGCACTTTCCCAGCACTTTCGCTGCCGCACAGCCGAGGCGCCCTCCAGCAGCCCTTATGCGGACGTGACAGAGGACTTAGAGCATCTTGCCTTAGTGTCATTCATTTCACGATGTCACCCCAGGTTCACACTTCCAACCTGATAGGTATTAGTAAAAGAATTAAGATCACCTATGAATAACTAAGATCACACATGAATAACTGGTAACTACTGCCGTTATATCTCTAGTTACCTTCTTCTTCACTATGTACATGGAAATAGACTGAGGCCTTTTGCTCCTGCCTCAGCGCTTATGGGATCTCCCCCTACAGTGTCAAGAGCTCTAAACTAATAGTAGTTAGCAGACCTTGGTTCTAGGTTGAGTTTTGCCTCTCTGTCATTTGTGACTTTGGAAGAGTCACATTACCTCTCTGAGCATCAGGTTTTCTCGCAGTAAAATGGAAGTCATAAGGCCTGAAAGCATCATGCTTCCTAGGTACAAATGGGGCTGTGACAGTGCTTGCCAAACTGTAAGTGCCAAGGAGCTATGGGGGCACGGAAGCAGCATGGTTTCTAGGGTCAGACAGGTGCGTTTGCAGCCCAGGTTTGCGTCTTTCCTAAGCAGTGGGATTCTGCCTGCTAGTAGCTACGCAAGTGTAACTCTTCTCACAGGCTCTCCCTGTGGACTCGCTCACTGCTGCAAACTGTTCCCACTGCTTTGAGTTTAAATTGTTTGTTTGAACCCATGGTCGGAAACAGGGAAATGATTCAAGCAGTTGTAGAAGATGGTACTTAGGGGTGTGGGTGGGATGGAGTGGTGGTGGCTTGGGGGCTCAAACATTACCCTAGTCACTGGGAAAGGGGTACCAATCTGCTCAGAGGTTTGCCCCAGTGGGCCTGCCTTCCGAGCAGGGCTCCAGCACTGTCGCCTTCCCCGTGAGCCTCTCCAGGCCTGGGTCCCTACTGGAGACAAATGGCTTTAGGGCCTCACTTCTAGACCCACACTGGGCTGAATGGACAGAGCCATGGCTGTCCCTCTGGAACTAGAGGGATGGTACTTGGCTCCACCAACTCTCAGTTTTCCTGAGTGTATGGATTTTCAGAGACCTGAGCTGATGGAGCACCAGAAACCTGAAAAAAAAATTGAGAAGAAGCAAAAGGAAGGGAGAAATGGCCAAGACTGGAGGCCACCTCCTCCTAGGTTTAAGGGCAAATGTGTTGAGTTTGATGTGGGGATGCATCCACGGTTTGTGAGAATATATTGCTGTAAGACGAAGCTACTTGTCTGCATGCACTTAAAACGCAACAGGACCCTGTTTCCACAATGTCTCCTTTCTTTTTTTGTCTCAGTTATTATGAGCTCCTAGTCTATGCCGGGTACAATGCCAAGCAATTAATAAATATTATCATGTAATCTGCACAAAACTCCATGAAATAGGCATTTTGTTCCATTTTACAGTTGAGAAAAACAAAATTAAAAAAAGACAAGTAACTGCTTGTCCTCGGTCATTGGGTAGGTGGTGGCGAAGCCAGGATAGGAAAACCCCTCTTCCTGGCTGCCTAGGCCCTGAGCTTTCTACTTACGCTGTATCGGCCACCGTCCCCCACTTCCTTGCTCTCTTTGAAAGTTAGCAAAAGTTCATGATCATTGCATTGTTTCAACTAACAAGATTTGCGACGGAGCTCTCGCTCTGTTACGTAGGCTGGAGTGCAGTGGCGCAATCTCGCTCACTACAACCTCCGCCTCCCAGCTTTGAGTGATTCTCCTTCCTCAGCCTCCCAAGTAGCTGGGATTACAGACGCCTGCCACTGTGCCCAGCTAATTTTTTGTGTTTTTAGTAGAGACAGGGTTTCACTGTGTTAGCCAGGATGGTCTCGATCTCTTAACCTCGTGATCCACCCACCTCGGCCTCCCAAAGTGCTGGGATTACAGGCATGAGCCACCGCACCTGGTGAACTAACAAGATTTGAAAGTGTGCACTCAGAATTGGTTCAGTCAAGATTTACTAAATTGCTGTAGGCCAGGCACTGTGCTGGCATGGAGACATGGTGAACCACACAGAAAACAAGAGGGTGACCCCCTTTCCAGGTAGTCTTCCCCATTACATGCATTTCCTCTTCTTTTAGGGCTGCTCCTGAAAGGACATAACCTGGACAAGCACAGGCTGAGAAGATTAAGCCTACATTTCTTTCCTATACCATCAGAAAAATGATGGGCCTTTTAGGAAAATATGTGATACTACCGCAGATGACAATTCTCCAGTGGCCAGAGTGCCAGGAAACCTGGGTAGTGACACTAACTTTGCCACTAAATAAGTGATATGACTCCCTGGCCCATTTCCCCATCTGTGCAACCAGAGGTTTAGGCCATATCATGTCTAGGCCATTCCCATCTCCAGCACTTCATCAATCATTTGAGTTCCTTATTTCAATCCTGTTTCAGGACAAATGAATCCTGAGACCCATTTTGAAAGTTTTAGGTGTTGATTTGTTTTCCTCAGCCTAGGCCCTAGGTTCTCCCAGTGACATACTGCTTAATCTATTGTGCTCGTTTCTTTGCCCCTGATTCATTTGTCATTTGCAGAAACTTCACCTTTGTCATTATTAGTAATATTCAGTTCTGTAAGAGACATGCTCACGTCCAAAACCTAGAGGTATACTTAATTACAAACTGTATGTTTCCCTTCGGAAGCAATAAACAAATCAAGGAACTGAAATTGAATCCTTCTTCCAGTGTAGGAGGCAGCTTGTATTTTTACAAAGAGAGAATAAAAAAATGGATGCAACATATTTCTGTTTGGTAGATCTGTATTTTTATATATTCAGATTACTTTAGCATGAGCTGAAGACAGTTTTTTAAAACCTACTCCAGTTGGTATAGTTTGTTTAAGATAAAGGCGAGGCCCAGAAGTTTTATTTTGCTTTGTTTTGTTTTCCTAGAAACTTGAAGAAAGGCATTTCTGTCTTCTTGGTGTTCTATTGACCACGTGTCTATACTCACTCTGTGCCAAGTATATAAGCTAGACCATTTCTAATCCTTAAACCATCCTTCAGGAACAGCTATTGATGTACCCATTTTATGGATGAGAAGCTTGGTGCTTAGGGAGGGTACATCGTGCAGACACAGTCGTTTGAATGGAAAGCAGCAGGTGTGGGATTCAATCTGAGTTCAGTCTGACTTCAGATAGTTACAGTTTCTCCGCCACAAACACTGCATGGAAGGGAGAAAAAAGACAGACTAATTTCCAGATGGGTTAGAGCATGCCAGGAATACACAAGGAAAAAGTGGTTTCTGAAAGGCTTTCTCCATGAAACATGGAGGAAGAGTAGGCCAACACCAGCTCACTCCATGATGCCTTTGTATGAATTAGAAAAAGTACATCTTCCTGTTAAGTGTAGCCCAACATGCAAACAGCTTGATGAGTGCTGTCAACACCCCTTACCCAGTCACACCCTGACACGGGGAACAAAGTTCACACAGCTACCCTGTGGCTGGAGGAAGAGAGGCACAAGGACCTGGATGTGTCCAGGCCAGAAGAGAAGACCAGACCAGAAGAAGATTGCATTATTTATCAGTAGTAGTATTTATGATCTTCCAATACTTATACTTCTCATTCTCTTTCCTTTTGCAAATAGTGTAATGGGCAGAGGAAACTCTTCTTACTGTCAAAGAGGTTTAACTCTGTTTCTGGAGCCAAGTTCAGTAAGAGAGACTGACCGCACTTCCCAGGGCTGGTCTGGCCGAGAGCCAGTGCAGAAGTAATGCATCATTCTTACTGTGACTGTCTTGTCCCAAAGAAAGTTCAGGTTGGCTTATCTTAAGGCATTCACTTCTAATAACTTGGCGCCAATATGATTTGCACCCCTGACTGGCTGCTGACTGTTTCTTCACCTCCTTCCTGCTTTTGCCTCTTCTAAGTCTCTGTTTAGATTAATTATTCTGCGATGTGGGACTTCGGTCAATAATAATAATACAAAGATGAAGGAGGAGGAGGAAGAAAGGATGGAAACAAAATCAGAAGGACTAAAATAATATGGCTCCATTACAAATGCGGGATGAAAGGAGAGGAGGGAGTGCTAGGAAAGAGAAAGCTATTTTCACAAAGAGCAGGAGGCATCCTTGAACTTCAAAGAAAACTCAAATTTGGCACATATTATCACATGTACTAGTAAGAACAGATGCCCATTTTACAGAGGAACAAACTGAGATTAGAGGGGTTAAGTAACTTGTTCAAGTCCCCTGGTATCCAGGTTTACACTCAAGTGTTCTGATTCCAAGTGACATGAGTAGAGAAGGAAGGGGAATTCAGGGAGACTATGAGATTTCCTCAACCGCATTAAGTTGAGGTATTGGCTCGCTCTCTCTCTCTCTCTCTCTCTCTCTCTCTCTCTCTCTCTCTCTCTCTCTCTCTCTTTCTCTTTCTCTCTCTCTCTGTGTCTCTTTCCCTGCCTTCCTTTCTCTCATAATAGGTCTGTTGTCCGGTGTGCATGGTGAATCAATACAAGGAGACACTGAGTTGCAGTAGAAATAGAGGTTTAATTGTAGGGCTGCCAAATGAGGAGACAAGAGGAAACCTCAGAGCTGTCTCCCAGAGGAGTTTGAAGCTAGGGATTTTCAGGGTTTTGGAGTGGTCTGAAGAATTGGTATCATTGACTGGCTGAAGAGTGCAAGGTGAAGTCTTGGGACAGGGTGATGAAGAAACTGTATCTTCTTGCTAATTCAATTTCTCTGTAGGGATCTTCAAACTGGTTGGTGTCAGCTGTTCCATGGGAATTCAGGATCTGTTTAAGCAATTCTTAAGCAAAAGCCTTATAAATGTCATGTCAGAAATCCTAACTACAGGAACAATGGGGATGCAATGGACAGCATCTAGTGTTTTGTGACTTACAGTTACAAGGAAGTGTGTCAAAGCGCAGCCTGATTAATGCTTAATTATAACTGCATTTCTGTACAGAATTCTTGAGGATGACTTTCATCAGGATGGCTTCAACTGTACATAGCTAGAAAGACAGGAATCTGCAGTCAGCCCACCTAGTACTGATGCTGATGACACCTCTACCCATGTACTTGCAGACTTTTAGCAACTTGGGGGTAGGACCCTGTGCAGAATTTGGCATCAATAGATGTTTTGTAAATGTTTGTTTCATAAGTGTTTGTTTAAGGAATAGGTGAATAAAGTTACTTGTTGAAAATAAACTATATTGTAAGTATGGGGAAAAATAGTTGTGTGGGTGCCAACAAGCAGTAAAAGGGTTATGGGGAGAGGAAGGGGAAATTGACTCATCTGTCCAGCTGCAGAAAGTGCCTCCTGTAAGTAAGAGATAGGAAATAAATAGAAACTTTTGGCATCAAATTGAGACATGGAAAAACCTATCAAGGCCACTGGGCCAAAGTTTTGACTGAGATGGGGAGGTTCAGTTCTGATCATTGTTAGAAAAATCCCATAAGTAGTTTAGAGAACACTAAGCAAGGAGGGTCCTCTTTCTAACGCTCCTTATCATTAAGCTGGGAACTGAGACTGATTTAAAAGGATTAACATAATTAAAATAAGGTACTTTAAAAAGCAAGTTCCAGTGCAGAAAGAACTGGTTGTCTCTCTTTCTCTTTCCCCACCTTCCTTTCTTTCTCTTTCTTGACCCCACACTCCTCCTTCCTCCTATTCCTTTCATTCCCTTTTATCTGTGATCCCAGCATGCTATTTCAGCCAAAACTGGAGGCCTTCCTGATGGATGCATACTTCAGGTTCTATCTATCTGTTTACAAAAGCCTGATTTTCTCATCCTTGATATTTCTCCTATAACTTGGGTGCTGAAGAGATGCTGGGGCAATTCCAAGCCACTGTTACTTTTCGTAGGTGACAAGATCACTCCAAAAGATGCCTCTTTGGCATAAGGATTATTTTGAGCTAAAAGCAGTTGAGAAGAAGCAGATGAAAAGCTCTCTCTGCCTCACCCATTTGCCTAAAAGCAGGACATTCATTTAGAAAGACAACAGCGTCCCTTCTCCCTTCTCTGCCAGGAAGAACAAAGGTTGATCACTAAAGACAACTTTGGGTCCTTAGCAATGAGAGGATAGATAGAAATAAGTATCACTTATCTGGAGACCACCACTGGAGGAATCTACAGGAGAAACTTCACAACTAGCCTTCAGCTACTGTATACAGTAATGCTCCCCATAAAGACACTTGGTCAACTCATATATAATGGTGGTCCCATAAGATTATAATAGAGCTGCCTGTACGGATGTGCCATTTCTTATCTTTTACATGGTATTTTTACTGTATCTTTTCTGTGTTTAGATGCAGAAATACTCCCCATTGTGTTCCAATTGCCTACAGTATTCAGCACAGCAGCAAGCAGTTCCGGTTTGTAGCCTGCGAGCAGTAGGCTTTGCCATACGGCCTGGGTGCGTAGCAGGCTCTACCATCTAAGTTTGCGTTAAGTACCTTCTATGTGTTCACACAATCAGAATGTATCTCTGTGGCTAAGTGCTGCTGGACTCTATTTGCCTTCTCACACTTTGCTGCCCCTAGAGACTCAAAATTCTTTTCCTTTGTCTTGCCTCTTCTCTAAAAATCTGCTATTCTTTACTAAAGAGGCTATAAAAGCCTAAAATCAAAGCTACCTCTGTGAAAACAATTCATTCCTTGGATATCTCCCATGCATAGATGAAAGACGTGAATAAACATGTTTGTTTTTCCCTTGTTAATTTGTCTTTTGTTACAGGGGTCCATTCCTACTAAAAACTAAGGGTAGAGAGGAAATTCTTTTTTTCTTCCCTATGCTTTCTTTCAGTACGATAGTTTATCTCTCTGTCCAAGTATGGAACTCACTCTCCCGGGAAAATGGGGCCACAGAAGAATGTGGACTGTGTGTTGTATATGCGTTCAACATTTACGTGTGTGAGAGGCATGTCAGACACTGGCGCCTTAATGATCAGGCCATACACATACATATAGACTTGATTACATGGTAGGCATTCAGGGACCAGTAAATAAAATGTTAAGGAGTCCCAGGGCAATTAGGGACTTCTGACACAAACAGCACATGCACAAAATCTCCCCCAGTGATTTAAATTTTTTTTGATACCACTATTTTGAGAGGTCTTTCTTCGTATTAGTAAAACGTTACAACAATTCACCTCATTCTTTGCTGTACAGTAAAATTTCCCTAATTGGACCCAGCATTTTGGAATTTGTATTAATTACAACACAGTAATTGTGTTGGGTAAGAAGTTTGAAAGGAGAGTTGTAATTTAGAAATCTGTACTTTTATGAGCACTATACGTAAGCCACAGGGTTTTCATAAATTGTAATCTCAAGTTCGTTTAGCCAACTTTTCTTATTAGCACCCCATTTATTTCTGAGTTTATAGCATCTGTAACATGTAACATAATTATCGGTATTTCTTTTAACACATCCTGGAGTTTGAATGTTTTATAAAAATTAATTCAGTTGGGACTCACAATCTCCCATCTTTCAAAATAGTAAGAGTTTACTGTATCGATTTTGGACCCTGTTCCTTGGCAGCTTTCTTTAGCCATGGACAAGTGAGTCCGTGGAAGCTAATTCGGGAGGGAGGTGTGGTTGTTCAAAGTGTGAGAGTTGATGTGATCTGGTTGTAGACTCTGCTTGCTGGATGCTGTTACCCATCGACAGCCCCTTCTTTCCAGACCCACTACGGCTAAGAGGTGCTCCACCTTTTCTCCCTGCCGCGGCTGCCTCTTGAGCCAGGTGTGCCGTCTTGCTGGTTCTTGTCTTTGTTCCTCCCCTGACCTGGTTATGATTTTTCTCTAGCAAACATAGAAAGCTGGGCTTGTCACCTTTCTTTTCCTACAACATGGGAGTCTGGGCACATTGTTATGAGGCTTTGTCTAATGAGTCATGGTGAAAGCAAATCTCTCCCCTCCCCTGAGCTCTCTCCTCTTCCTCCCTAACTCCTTTAAAAACCTTCCCTGAGCCCTCCCTGGGTCAGGATGAGTTATTCTTGCCCTCTGTCAGTGTATTTAGGAGCGAGTTTTAGAGCCTTGAGTTTAAATATCAGTCCTAATACTTGTACCTTGTCATCATAAGCAAGTTTCGGAATTCTATTTCCTTAAAAAAAAAGAGAGAGAGAGATGACAAAACTCCTTGCAGCATACTAGGAGGATTAGAGATAATACACATTAACATATGTAGTACCGAAAAAGCAAATGTTCAAGGATGGTAGCTATTTTTATTATTCTAGCACTTCCCACGCTGTACAGTGAGTATGCTCACTTGTCTGTTTTCCCCTCAGGACTGTGAGCTCTTTTGGAGACTACTTCTATATCTCCAAACTTTGGGACGAAGTGTGGTGTGGAGTGGACATTACATAAATGTGTTTTGGATGAACGAATCAGTGGAAATTAACGGACATCTTTAAGTAGGCTGCCTTGGTTTGTGCATTATTCAGCAGGCCTCTTTCTTGGGACCTGTTGGAGATTAGAGGCCATTCTAAACAATGAGGCAATCAGAACAGGGAAAAGAACAAAGTAAAAAAATTGGATTCAATATTTTGGTTCTTAAAACGTTGCATGCCTATGGATAATGATAAAACTCACCATATGTAGGACTGAAGGTAACTGGCATGCTTGGAATGTCATATGCTCAACATTAGAATGATGATACATCACAGGTTTTCTTTCCCCCGACTACTGGGCCTTTCTCATTTATAGGCAGGACAATCATTATTTTCCTTCCAGGTACCGTTCATGAGAAATATTCAGACCTTATAGGAACTTGCAAAATAAACAGCTGTTGGCATCTCCTTGGGAAGAAGAGAAAATCCAAAGCTTTGATAGATATTAAACTGGAGCCCTCCTGGGAGATTCTAAATGGCTCATAAATACAACTGGTGGAATATTGCCTGCATGTATTTTCCACTTACACTCACCTTTGAGGTTCTGCTGGCCCCCTGAGAATCAATACACACAATAACCGAATTGCTGATATATTAATCTTGCTGCTGATCTTAGCATTTCTTTCTCCCAAAGTGGGAATAAGGCTAGGAGAGGAAGTGAAATCTAGAGCACTGTGAAAGTAATGGGGGAAAATTTCATTTCCAGAATTCAGAAAATATATAAAGTCATTCTCTTTCTCTCACCTCACAAAGGCACCTTGACAGAGTGCCCTGACTGGCCCAGAGCCATGGACTTCAGTTTATCCTGAGCACCTTGCACCCTCCTCAATCCTGGCTTTGTGACCTTCTAAGAACAAAGCCAACACTCCAGGTCATGTCTGGGCTAGAAGTTCCGTTAGAACAAGGAGCCACCCGCTCCAGAGCCCTCACGGCGCCAAAAGGGTTTCATTCCCATGGTATAGCTTATCATAGTAAAGGGGAGAGAAAAATAATGCTTCCTCTGCCTTTCTGAGTTCTTAGTTGGGACAGACACCTGTAAAGACAGACTAACAAGAGAAAAGCAAACAGAGGTTTATGAACATGTGTATCTCATGTACATGCAGGGAAAATGAGGGGGTTTCAAGAGTAAATCTCAAAGTCGTGACGTTGGCTTTGGGCTTAAATATCATCATTTCCTGGAATAAAGAAAGAAGCGGGTAGAGAAAGCCAGTTATGGGGTGATGATCGGAAAAAGACTATAGACAAGAGCAGGATTTGTTATGCACATTTAACTTGGTACCTTCTTCCTTGATCAGAGTCTCTGGTGACTTATTCACTCATCCCTGTGCAGAGAGAGAGAAAGAGAGAGAGAGACACTTTTACAAATGGAGATTTCTCTTACAGATATAAATTTCTCTCTCTTTTTTTTTAAGACAGAGTCTCACTGTCACTGCTGAGTGCAGTGACATAGCTCACTGCAACCTTGACCTCTGCCTCCTGGGCTCAAATGATCCTCCCATCTCAGCCTCCTGAATAGCTGAGACTACAGGCATGTGCCACCATGACTGGCAAAACTTAAAACAAATTTTTTTTAGGGATGGGGTCTTGATATGTTGCCCAGACTTGTCTTGAACTTCTGGAGGCAAGCGATCCTCCCACCTTGATCTCCCAAAGTGCTGGGATTACAGGCATGAGCCACTATACTTGGCCAAATTTCTCTTATAAAAGGGTCACTTCTACTGTTTCCAGAGCCTCTCCTGTGGCTGTTGTTTCTCAAAATAAGACCTCAAAATAATCCTAATGTCAAAAGGACATATTTGGGGGTGTCATATTCTGGTGCTTATTGTCATATTTTGGGTTGACATGTCCTGAACCCCATCATTAGCAAAGGGGTAGTTTTTAGGTATTCAGGACTGAATGCGCTTCAGAAGGTGAAGCTGGTGGTGAACATCTAAGATTTATACCAGCTGCAGAAGAAGCCCTCAGGTTGGGGGCAGGAAGGGGATTTCCTTTCAAGATGAGCCTGAAAGGCTAATACCCATTACCTAAATTTACCAAGTGAAGGTTATCAGAAGGAGGGGAAAAAGTCAATTCTTTTATTTTTGCGTGGGGTTTTTCTCCTCCTGCCCCCTACTTAGAAGACAAATGAAATTATGATCCAAGAGACACGCAGATGAATGGTGTGCACATCTCTCCATGGCAGGGTGAAGAGCGGTGCAGAGGGCTAGGAAGGAGGGAAGTACAGGCTCTGGGGTGGGACAGTGCTGGGTTAAATGGCTGGCCCGTGGCTTCCTGCGCAAGTCACCTCACCTCCAGGAGGTTCAGGAACCTGTTCTTGAAAATACCAGTCATGTCAGCCTTTCCAGTTTGATGTGAGAGTTGAACATGAGAATGAAAAGTGGCGGATCTCATTTTGGATTCCTGTATTGTGTGAGTTCTGATGGGGCGGTAGGATTCTGGCCACCATGGAAGCTAAACCTTTCATACGTCCTTTTCCAGGTTCCCATCCAGGGGACAGTTGCAAAATTACCTGTGGTGGCTGTGTTGGGGCTCAGAATGCTGTACCCCAAAGTATGGCACCTTGGCATGCTGATTATTTTTGAGCTGAAGGAAGCAGGAAGGCCTTAGAAGCAAGGAGATGTCTGACCTTCTCCCGTCCTCCTGTCTTCTGCCCCTCTCTCTCTCCCAAAGCAAGCCATAGAATGGAGAAAGTTCACTCTCTGGCCTGCCTGTCCAAAAATAGGTCATAAGATCCTCATGTGACCTGTGTCCTTTCCTCCATTCCGGAGAAAAGGAATGCTACACAGAGAGATTGAGGAGAATATGAACAAATGGTTTTGCTGGGATTCCCGCTCAGTTTCATGTCATTAGATCATACCCTTCTTGTCCAATTGCATTTCTCCACAACTATCCACTGCTTTCATCAGCCTTAACTTAAAAATACTGTTTCCCCTGTGTCTTTAGGTCTTCATTTCTGATGGTTTCTATGTCACGTAAAGCTTGATAAATTTGTTATGCATTTAATCTGTCTTTTGTTATAAGGGTGTCAGCCATAACCCTCGGAAGGAAGATATATTACTTCACTCATACAGCTGAGTCCGGGATCCAGATTCTGATGGTGAGGCTGGAAGCAGATAGTAACCAGAGAGAACCTGTGACAAAATCCACACATTGTCCCCACTCCCTAGCTCTCCTCGGTTTCGGCTGATTCTAAGAGCTCGGTTTTCTAGCCCTTGGGTCAGTTCTATGAATTACTGACACTCTTCCAACAAATTCCTTTTCTGCTCACAATTAATAGGTATTGTCTTTTGCTTGAATCCAGGAGCTCTGACCATTATCGAGGGAAGGAAAAGTAAGGTCTTCTCACCTATTGCAAGGGTCATGGCTGAGACATCCATAATAAAAGCTTAGCAAGAAAACAATTATACAAATGTATTTACAGTTTATGTAACATGGGAGGCTTTAGAAATGAAAATGCTCCCAAAACAGAAAAATCTGTGTAATCTTATGCTTAGATTTGATGACGGATGGACAGTTGTGCCGAAGTGTGATTGGACAAAGGGTGTCTGATGTAATAAACAGAAGGGAACTTAACAAGGCCTGTTCGCTCAGATTCTTCTCTGTGTCCTTGTGTCTTCAGAGACAAGGACATTCCTTTCCTCCAGATCTAGAGAGGGCACCTCTGGAATGAGCAGGGTCTTATGAACTGCTTTAGAGGAAGATCAGGGAATTCTTTTATGACCTGCTTCAGGAGAGAAGGGTGGAAGCAGGTCAGAGAGATCTTCTTGCTCCTGCGATTTTTCTCAAATGCCAAAGTGCCATATTCTGGGGTAGCATGTCCTGAGCCCCATCAGTTGCAATATGTAAAGAGGATAACCGTGCCAGGGCACCTAGGAGGATGCCTGTGAAAGGTGGCACTCAACACAAGGGAGCTACGGTTATTATTAGCCCATAGGCATTCCAGGATTTCTACTGTTTGCTTTGGCATTCCACGGTTTCACACTTGATCCAACTACAGTCATGCATTGCTTAATGGGGCTACATTCTGAGAAATGCATCCTTAGGGGACTTTGTCCTGTGGGAACGTCATAGAATGTGCTTACACAATTAGCCTACTACGTACCTAGACTATATGACGTAGCCTATTGCTCCTAGGCTACTAACCTATATGGCATGTTCCTGTGCCAAGTATCACAGGCAATTGTGACACAGAGGTATTTTGATATAAACATGGAAAAGGGAAGTAAGAATATGGCATTATAATCTTATGGGGCCATCGTCTCACATGTGGTTTGCTGTTGACTGAAACATCATTACATGGTACATGACTGTATTCAAATATCCATGAAGTGTAATATTTTGCCAAAATACAAATTTAAATTGCCTTTGGAAGAGTACACATCAGATTAGTTCCCGTTCACTATTTTATGAGGAGCACATACTATTTGCAATCATCAAAAATAGTAAATATATTTTCATTTAAAAAAAGAAACATGGTTTTGGTTTGAATTGTGTATACTCAGAGGCAAGAAGCTTTTGTGATTTACTGATCTCCACATCATTGTGTAATTGTATTTAAGAGTGGTATCCCAGCCGGGCGCGGTGGCTTAAGCCTGTAATCCCAGCACTTTGGGAGGCCGAGGCGGGTGGATCACGAGGTCAACAGATCGAGACCATCCTGGTCAACATGGTGAAACTCCGTCTCTACTAAAAATACAAAAAATTAGCTGGGCATGGTGGCGCGTGCCTGTAATCCCAGCTACTCAGGAGGCTGACGCAGGAGAATTGCCTGAACCCAGGAGGCGGAGGTTGCGGTGAGCCAAGATCGCGCCATTGCACTCCAACCTGGGTAACAAGAGTGGAATTCAGTCTCAAAAAAAAAAAAAAAAAAGAGTGGTATCCCATGGATGGTCAGGATCTTCTTTTAGAATAACCAACTCTAAAAAGACTTCATGGATAAAGAAACTCTAAGAAAATAAAATTTAAAATTTAATAATCTCTATTAAGGCCTGGATCATAATCTACATTCAAATAGTAATCAATCTATTAATAGCCATTTGCTCCATTCACAAGCTTGACCATGCATGCCTCAGTGCTAAAGTATTTTGTTGGTCAGCAAAGTCTTTGTGACTCAAAGGATGGTTTCCGGACCAGCAGCATAAGTATCACCAGGGAGTTTGTCATAAACCCACAGTCTCAGGTCCCATCCTAGGCCTACTGATTTAGTATCTGCAGTTTCCTTAGCCAGGTGTGGTGGCCCAGACCTGTAATTCCAGCACTTTGAGAGGCCAAGGTGGGAGGATTTCTTTAGCCTAACGGCTCGAGACCAACCTGGGCAACATAGCAAGACCCCTCTAAATAAAGAAAGAAATAGAATCTGCATTTTACAAGATCTCCAGGTGATTCATAATAGCATCGAAGTTTAAGAAGCATTGATAAGTAAGTTGGCCATTAGTGGCTGGAAGAAGTGTCAAGGCATTTCCCTAAACCAGATTGGGACGAAATTTGTAAATCCATTTTCAAGTATCAAGGATTTACTTGTTAACCAAAGTGAGTACTATATTCTTTAAGGGAGTAGCCCAGGGAAATTTCTGTCTTACCTCCTGTGAAATTATCAAGGATTTTTGCTTGTTTATCAGATTGAGGGGTTGAAGGGAGCGGAAATCTCCTTTTCTGCTTATCTGCCTCTGGCTTAAACTAAGATTTTAGAGGGCAACAGGGAAAATAATCTTAAATTGTCTGCATCGCTGAAATGTGGTGATTTCATCTTTTGGCGTGGGATTGGGTCAACTTGCATTTTCCTCAAGCCATTTGTTCAAGATGAGAAGTTCCTGCACCAGAAACAGAGAAGTATAATCAGCAGAATGGATTGGATCCTGAGGAAGCCATTATCACGGAGTGTCAGTGAGCAAAATTAACATGTATTTTTAATAAGTTTATAATTACTTATCCTACGATAGGCCATATGGTCTATTCACTTTCTGTGGACTCAGACACTTCAGCCCTCAAATGCCATTTAGTTTGAAACACGCACACACATACCCACATCCTCTTCCCTCAAAGAAAACAAAAAAAATTGTATTTTGAGCTCCAAAATAGTTTCTTAAGGAGGAGAAATTTGTATTGCTATCAAAGGCAGGAATTTTACACTCATATCTAGAAAGACACAGCGACACATTTTTGCCCTCCCTCAGGCCTCTCCTTTTAACTTGATGGCTCAGTTATCTGAGCAGAGGGCAGCACAGCTGTGCAGAGTTTTCAGCTGGAAGTGTCGACTTCCTTGTTTTTGTGAATTTTTGCAGCAGACCTAGTATTGTTATTTAGATAACCATTGTATTTTTTTTTATTAGAATTCCATTAAATTGAGAAACAAAGGACCCTGTGTTGCTTTCAAGGAGAAAATGCCTCTGTTTTCCCATTTCTAGGCTGTATTTGAGGAAGGCCTTTTGATGATATTCTCGTGAACTTACTTTTAGAGAAAAGCATGTATTTTATGACTTCATTTGGGTCTTTAAAAACTGCCGATTAAGCAGTGCCCCTCAAAACAATTTTTTTCTTCACTAATAGGCTGCAAGAAGTCTCATCTTTTTATAGTTACCTTAGAGGGGTTCCACATGACATAAAATGACTATTTTTCAACACATTCTGAGGAATGGCATAATACGAGTCAGCTTTAGAGGGACAAATCAGTCAATTCAAGATACCAGTGTATTTTTAAAATTTATTAGTGGAGTTTTTTAAAGTCAGCCCGGTCACTTGGAAAATTCTACCTTTTAAATAAGCAAGAGCTGTAGCTTTGATCAACAAGACGCAGATCACAGCTCGCTCAGCTCCATCTTCAACTTGCTAATTTAGAGGAATTATCTGCAACTTGGAAAGGCCAGTTCCAGAAAGCCACAGTGGGCAGGGCCTCCATTCACCTTTCCTAGCTTTTTAACCCACTGTTTTCAGCGATCAGTAAATGAAATTCAGACCTAGGTTTTCCAGTTATAAACTCCTTCTTTCCATAGAATCACATAACTCCCAGGTAGGAAGGGACACCGGCTCTATCTATACCAGCTCCTGGGTAGTGAGCACCTGGGGCCCTGCATTGGGCTTTGCCTTTGTGCCATCAGCACCTGAGCAAGTCCGGGACTCACTGTGTCTATTCCCCATGAGCAGCTAGAGCATCAAAGCTGCAACCTTGCTCTAGAGACCTCCCCCTTGGACCAACTCCCACTAACTGAGCCTCTAACTTGATGCGTGAGCTTTGAATGGGGGTCTGCTTACCCAGCACAGTAAAGCCAAACATCCACACGACGGTTTTGCAGTGGGAGAAAGGATGGCGTTTATTTGTGGGGCATCAAGGGAGAAGAATGGAGCAGCTCACAGTTAAGACCCAGCCACCCTGAGGGCTGACAAGCAAGGCTTTTGAAAGGCAGGGGTCCGTTTCAGGGAAGCAGAAGCTATCAGTAAAATCATAAATCAATACATGGAGGTTATATGCTGGTTTGGACTTAAAAAGTAAGATATCTGGAAGTGAGGATTTACAGGTCACAGGTGGTTTTAAAGTTCTCTGATTTGTGATTAAGGAAGAGAAACTGTCTAGAAACTTGGAGTCAGCAGAAGGGAATATTAAGATCTGGCTTGTGGGCCCTCAGAAAGAAATTTAGTACAAAGAGCCAAGGTCTGAGTTCAGTCCTTGGTTCCTGTTGATCTGAGGTCTATGTTCCAATGGATACATTTGGTGAGTATCTCTAGGTTTCTGAAAAGCAAATCCAGGATGTATGTTAAGATGTTACTTTTAGTTTCTGTATGGAACAAACACCTTGTGATGCTTTCTTGGTTGTTTTTTTTTAAGCTGTCATTACCTTCTTGTTTATCAGGTTGTCATTTACTTCTTAGGGCTAGATAGCTGCCGAGAATCTGCCTTGAAGGAACTTAAGGTTTTCCTTTATTTCCAGGCTGGAGGGGGCCTGGAGGCCCCAAGTGGGGTCCCTGCTCCATCTCAGCCTCCCTTTATATCCAGCAAGAGAGGCTTCAGTGTACCACTCAGAGCTGGACACAGCTTCTGTAACTGGGAGGTAACGAAGCAACTGTGACAGATCCCCCCTCGCACAGCTTTAGCGACCAGGGGTCCCCAGAGAAAGGGCTGTGTCATTTCACTCCCCCAAAGGCAGGTCGAAGTTACATGACTCCTAAGGACCTGAGGTGCAGCCCGTATTGGCAATATTAGCCTTGGGCTGTTTTTGAAGACATCCTGAAAGCATTGAAAAGGTCAGAAGGGAGAATTCATGAAAGTGCCCACAAGACAAAGTCAGCGTAAACATCTATAGGGTCCAGAGGCCGTGGTGTCCTCTTATGACAGCATCAGTCAATTAGGAACCTACTGTCCCCTGTGGGGGAGGAAAAATCATTGTCTTTCTATCCTCCATAGTTCTTAGCTGCGTCTCCCAGTAACAAAACATAGGTTAACAAGAGGAGAACAAACAGAAGTTTCATAACATGTATACCTCTTGTACAGATGGGAGAAAGCCCAGCAAAAAATGAGTATCTCTCCAGAGTAGATCTCAAAGAGTTATCTTAGACTGCAGGCTTAAATGCCATCGTTCTCTGAAAGAGGCAAAAGAGGGGTGGGGACACAGGTTGAAGTGGCTGTGACTGGCACCTGAAACAAAGGGAAGGTTTGTTATGCAAATTTAAGGTGATGCCTTCTCCATAGATTCAGGGTTTCATTTATGCTTCCTTCTCTTTCTGGTTCAGAGACGGAGACATGCTTATGATAGAGATTTCCTATAGAGGTGTAAGTGTTTCTTAGAAAGGGCTTACTTCTCAGAGCTTCCGCTTGGTCTGAAGTTTCTCAAAATGTCAGCTCAGAATAGTCTTTAAGTCAAAGCAGTATATTTTGGGTTGGCGTGTCCTGAACCCTCTCCTCTCCTTTCCATTCCTTTCTACACAAGCATTTACCCTTCGGGTTAGAAAGTAGCTAGTGAGGCCGGGTGTGGTGGCTCATGCCTGTTATGTCAACCCTTTTGGGGGGCTGAGGCAGGCAGATCACCTGAGGTCAGGAATTTGAGACCAGCCTGGCTAACATAGTGAAACCCCATCTCTACTAAAAATACAAAAATTAGTTGGGTGCGATGGCATGCACCTGTAGTCCCAGCTACTTGGGAGGCGGAGACAAAAGAATAGCTTGCACCTGGGAGGTGGGGGTTGCAGTGAGCTGAGATCACACCACTGCACTCCAACCTGGGCAACAGAGTGAAACTCCATTGCAAAAAAAACAAAAGAAAGCTGGTGGATGGAGTAGAAGATTGTTGGGGCTCAAAACTGATACTCCAAAATAATGGTTCTTTGACATACTGCACTGAAGAAGGCTAAGTTCCTTTTCCTTTCCCACTGTTACTTCCAAAGAAGTTGAAGTTCCTTTATCTGCCTAAGATCCATACTCACCAAGGAGAACAGTTGTTTTTCTCTTTTCCTTCCAAGGCCAAGAATATAACCACACCAGAGCAAGGCTTTCACCATCAGAGAGCTATTTACAAGTTAATCTCTTATTCCATTCCTTCTCCCTGGTAATCTTTTATCACCGCTCAACGGAATCCTTTTTCTCTCCCTCCCATAGCCTGCTTTGTCAGGATGGCATATGGGCTTCTGAACCTCAGTGTGGGGTTGGATCTTCTTTCCCAAGGCTTGTATACTCTCGTATACACGTTAAAGAAATTTGGATTTTTTTTCTCCTATTAATCAATTTTCCTCCTGTTAGTGATTTTCAGTGAACCTCCAGGACCCTCACAAAATTAACCAGAAAAGCGAAAAAGCCAACCATACCCTCTTGCCCAAAGAAAGGCAGTGTGACTGGTAGAAAGAGGGACACTGTGTCTTCCCGTGAGTATTGGAGTTTTGCTTCATGTATTGGGCTGGACATCGCTCATTTCTAAATTAATTGAGACATGACTGAGACTTCAAAGAACTGTATGAATTTTCTGTTGCCTAAGATTGAACAGAAAGTTGTGGGGAATGTCCTAGTTTTTATTCCCAGACAAGGGAAAGATTCCCCAGCAGAGAGTGTAAAAGAGAAAGTGGGTGTGAAAAATATTACGCCCCGTGAGGCCTGCATGATGGATGGGCTGGTTATAGCCTCTATCTTCCACTCAACAGAAACTCCTGGGCTGTTAGCAGATATTTGCAGATTCGTTTAACAAATACCTGTGGTTGTCAGCATACTTGGCACTTGATAGCCCTAGAGAGAAACCACTCAACAAGCCTCATGCTTTGCCCTCAAGGAGCTGACGCTCTACTGGGAAATGAAGACCAGTCGGTAAAAAATGAAAATGAGTTTTCAATGTGACAGGCATTGCTAAGGGTGCCGACATGCACCTGACCCTGTCTCAGAGGCCTTCCATGGGAAGCTAGGCTTAATCTGAGACCTGAGGGACCAGTAGGTATTGGCTGGACAAGAAGAGGAAGAAGAGGAAAGAGGCAGAGGGAAGAGAAGTGTTTTTCAGACAGAGTCGACAGTAGGAGAGAAAGGCTGCAGAGAGATAAACGGCGGAGAAATTGGAAGGTAGAATTGAAAGTGAGAATCACAAGAAATTATAATTGAGAAACAGGCAGCATTTCGTCTTGAAGGGCCTTATAAGCCACATTCAGTTTGCATTTTAATCTGAGGACAGTGTTGATTTTTAGCAAGGGAAGGATCATATTTGCACTTCCGAACAATTTTCTCCAAAGTAAGGTAATAAGAAGAAACTATTAGATCCTTTAATTACATTGTTTAAAATGTAACCTTTAAGATTTTCTAATACATTTATTACCCATACCTTAATATGGTCGCAGGAGGACGTGCATGTAATTTATAAATACGTACATATTCGGGAGTGCAGGGGTGATTGCTTTAGAAAAGTCACTCTGGCTGCTGCTATGGGTTGGAGGACGGCAAGGGCAGAGGCAAGGAGGCTGGTTAGAAGGCTGTTGTGCTGACCCAAATGGAAATGATAGAGGTGGGAACCAGCAGAAGGGCATTGAGTGTAGAAAGAAGTGGCTAAATGGAGGCAGGACGTTAATGTTTTGTTTCCGTTAGGGATCTCCGGCATCCACAGGCCAATTGATGGGTCAGGAGAAAAAAGAGCACTGGCCGTCAAAAAGATCCAGCTTTCAAGTCCTGCTTTCTTCACTTATTACGAGATTTGGGCAAATCATTTGCTCACTGAGGCTTGGTTTCCTCAATCGTAAAAATGGGGTTCTCAATATAAGACCCTACTGGCCACCTGGGCCAAGTGCCGGGCAACTGAAGGGATAACAAAGAAAGGATGACTTTGAAGATTACAAAGCATTAGGAAAATGATAACCATTTTTCCAACAAGTACTTCATTTTTGTGTATAAGTTGTCACCAAAACCACAATTTGACTTCATGTTCATTTTCAGTTAAAATGAGGAAGCTAACTATCCTTATGCTTAGCAAAAGACAGCTTCTTTTCTTATTAACGTTGAAAACAGTAATAAATGGGTCAAGTGGTTATGCCTTTTCCTCCTCAAGAAGCCTTGAGACTCAGTTTCCTCATGTGTCCGTGGAAAATAATGGCATCTGTCCTATCTATCTCTTCACTGAACCCCTCAGAAGGGGCACATTAATACTCACTGAGATGGCGGTCAGGAACGTTCATTCCCCACAACTTCCTTATGTGACCTTGAACAAGTCGTGCAACAACCTCTAGCCTTGATTTCCTTGTCTGTAAAGTGTGAGTGAGGGTGGGATAGATGATTTCCAGGCACCCTCCAGATATCGAACATCATTATCTACAAGAGGTGAACGAAGAGATGAAATATGAAGCCTGCTTTGTCACAGTTGTGATTTTGTTTGCCTGGTTGAAAAGGAAAGGCGAGGAAGCTTTAGGGGAAATAAAAAGTTTACCACTAGAATTATCTGCACATTAACCAAGCCATGGAAAATGGAAGAAGCTGTGAAGATTTTCTCAATATGCAGAGCCACCAGGCAATTGCTGACAATAAAATTGTGAATTCAGCAATTCCATGCTGTGTTTTAATTTTCTGGCACTGGCGTGCCCATTATTTAAGCATGCATTTGGATTGGTGCCAGCTGCCCTCATCACCACGGCTCAGAAGGGATGCTGAGAAGCCGCCCCCAGCTCACACCAGCAGGTCTGGGGCCCCTGCAAACCCTATTCCTCTGGAAGGTCAGGAAAGGGAGGTAGGACAGCAGACTTTATATAGGACAGAGGGAAACTGGGAGATAATTGGAGAAACAGTGAGGAAGAGAGTGGGAGAGGACAACTGGAAGAAACGTTGGAACAGAATGAAGGGAAAGAGGGAGAGAAGGCCACGAATGTAAATGTTTCATGGTCAACGTGAACGGGTGAAATTAGGTACCAGAATAAGGTATGAGAAGAAAATAAAAGATGGGAATCTGCAATGACTCTTAAGTCCCAGATCTCTTTCTGGCCTCTGGTCAGGGGCATGGTCGGTGGACCATCTCTAGCTGCAGTGCCTTCAAGATCTGCTATAGCATTTGAACTGAAGCCATGCTCTTCCCCCAGCTCTTCCTGGGTAGCCCCCAGGCAATGGCTGAGCAGGGTGAGTGCTCACCCAATATTGGCCCGGCCAATATTTGCCTAATGTGGGACTCCGATCCAGAGTTCCTCGTTAGACTGGCTGACACTCTCTCGGAGCTGCCCTGTAGGTGAAGATTCTTCCTACCCTACCTTCCTCCTTTCCCCCCTTATAATCATTAGTTTTACGTGTTCACCTGGCTAGGTGACAGTACACAGTCATATAATAAAACACTAATCTGGGTGTAACTATAAATGTGTTTTATAGCTGTGGTTAGCATTTATGTCACTTTGTTAGCAGTGGCAAATCCATATGGGTCTGCAGCAACCTCAGTTCTTGCCTCTTCAGAAGAAAGAATTCGACCGAGGGGCGTAAGGCGGAGTGAGAGGCAGAGATGAGTTCTAGAGCAGCAGTTAACGTTTATAAAAAAGTATCAGAGCAGGAATGAAAGGGAGTGAAGTTCACTTGGAAGAGGGCCAACTGGATGACTCGTGAGATCAAGCCCACTGTTTGACCTTTGATTTGGGGTCTTGTACACTGGCAGGCTTTCAGAGGGTTGCATCCGTTCTCCTCTGATTCTTCCCTTGGGGGTGGTCTGCCAGCCCTTGAGAGGGGCCGCATGCGCAGTGAGTTTATTGAAGTTGTGTGTATGCTCACTTAAGGGTTTTTCCCTTACCTTTGAGTGTTCTTAGGAAAAGGTCATGTACCAGTTAAACTCCGCCATTTTGCCTCTTAGGGTGCCTGCTTGAGCCCACTTGCCCAACTCCTGAGATCTTATCGGAAGCTGCTGGTCACCAACTTCAGGTGTTTTCTTTCTATTGGGAGACTGCCTTTCCCTGACGCCGGCTGTGACCAATTATGATTTTAGAGGGTCAGTTTAACAGCTGCCTGACCATCACCTGATGGCTGCCCAATGTCCCCGGTGTGGTCGGGGGAGCTCTCCTACCCTGCTCATGTCTGTCTGACAGCCTACTGTAACAAGCTGACTTTAAGTAAAGGAGATGACTCTTAATAATGTGGCTGGGCCTCATCTAGTTAGTTGAAAACCTTAAGAGCAAAACTGAGGCTTGCCAGAGAAGAATAAAATCTGCTTTGAGATTGGAGCATCGACTCTTACCTGGGTTTCCAGCCCACCCTACAGGTTTCAGACTTGCCACCCGCCACAACTGCATGAGCTAATTCCTTAAAATAAGCCAACCATCTCTAATTGGTTCTGTTTCTCTGGAGAACCCTCACTAATCCGTCCCTTTTGTTTCACAGGCATCAGAACTGCATCACAGTCTGAAGGCTTTCCCTCATCACCCCTGCTCCCTCTCACCTTTATCCTTTATGATGTTACCTTCAATAAATCTCTTCCCCTTCTAACTCCATCTTGCCCTCTGCTTGAAAGGAGCCAACCACACCATCCCTTGGCTTCATTTACACTTTTCAGACTATGAGTTCAGTTTTACATTAGAATATCTGAGCATGATTGATAACACCTCAGGATCTTATAGCACTTGAGTGGTAGGAAAAGAAGCTGAAGAAATATAGTGTAAAAACAGAAATGAAAGGAAGGTCGAAGGCTAGGAGAAATATGGGGTCACAGCTAGGAGAAGTATAAAGGAAATTGCCTTTCCAGAAATGTCAGATTTGAATGTTTTGTTTAATAGATCACCTCCCAAGGGCTTTTTGCAAACAGTGGCATGAGAAGATACCAGGCAGGAAAGCGAAGGAACAGACAAGCACACATTGATGTTTGCCTCACTTTTGCTTTTTGCTCATTGGAGAATCTATTAAAAATGTGTTATTTCCCCTTTGCCAATTGCCATCTCTTCAATTACCTTATTTAAGAACACACAGGAAAACAGTATTCCTTGCATCTGCTCCAATTTTCTCCCCAACTTTTATAGCTTCCTCTGCCTGATTTCTTAACAAAAGGAAACTACGTTGTAGAAACTGCTGCTGTTTCACTGCGGATTCTTTTCCTTGGTTGCTTTACTCGTGGTTTATAGAGAGAATGACTGCAGACCATCCGAGATGATATGTGTGATACAATGATAATGTGACGTCACCAGCTCAGTTCACTGCACATGGCTCAGAATGAAATGTGAGTACCAATTAAAGCAGCTGTACCTGTATCCTTGCAGGACATTACCTGACAGGCTCTGAAGTTGGATTTGCCTTTCGAAGCCTGTGTTGACTTCCCTTAAATCTGCAGAGCAGCTGTTCATTCTTTCTTTCATCTATTTATTTAGCAATAGTTAACTGAGGGCCTAGTAGATGTTGGGGACTATGCCAGATGCTGAAGAACTCATGGAATGTTAACGTCCCTGCCCTCAGAAGGCTTCAGGTCTATTTTTCAAGTAAATCCTAACTCGGCTGACTGTGTTTCTGGATCACACCGCTTTAATCATTCATGACACTGTAGCCTTTTTTTTTCTTTTTTGAGACGGAGTCTCACTCTGTTGCCCAGGCTGGAGTGCAGTGGCATGATGTCAGCTCACTGCAACCTCTGCCTCCTAGATTCAAGCAATTCTACTGCCTCAGGTCTCTTGAGTAGCTGGGATTACAGGCATGCACCACCATGTCCAGCTAATTTTTTTGTATTTTTAGTAGAGATAGAGTTTCGCCATATTGGCTAGGCTGGTCTCGAACTCCTGACCTTGTGATCTGCCCACTCGGACTCCCAAAGTGCTGGGATTACAGGTGTGAGCCATGACGCCTGGCCATTAGGGTGTAGCTTAAGCAAGCTTTGAGGACTTCTCCTAGTGTCTTTTCCCAGGTGTAATGGTGTGACAGCCATGAGTAGAAAGCACATCAAGGATGTCTATTGCTCCACACAGCCAGGGAAGGAGCCACAGACCTTGCTGGCAATAAAGATCTTGAGGTCTTTATTGCTGAAAGCCGGTTGGCATCTGCCAGTCAGGTTCAGCTCTTATTTGGCCCCATTAATTTAATACACTAGCCAGACCAGACAGCACAACTGAGCAGCCAATCTCTGACCTCAATTGGAAGTCACTTGAGATGAAGCAGACTGTGTTGCTGCCCACTTCCAATCAATATGGCTTCTGTGATAACTCGGTCACCAGTGTTCTGTTTCCAGGGCATCAGAATTCCTTATGCAAATGACTTTGCATTAACCTGGTGTGTTGGTCAAAGTTTTCAGGAAAACAGAACTAATCAAAATGTACGTGTGTATGTGTGTGTGTGTATGTGTGTATGATAGAGAGAGAGAAGAAGAGGGGGAGGAGGGAGAGAGAGAGAGAGATGGAGAGAGAGATTTATCTTAAGAAACTGGCTCCCAGGACTATGGGAACAGACAAATCTGAGATCTATAGGACAGCCAGGCATTCTGGAAATTCCATCAAGAACTGATATTTTAGTCTTGAGTCCAATGTCCAAAGGCAGCCTGGACGCAAAATTCCTTCCTCTTTAGGGTACCCTAGTCTTTTCTATCAAGACCTTCAACTGATTTGGATGAAGCCTACCCAGGTTATGAGGTGAAGAGTGCTGAGATGTCATCCCAGAATATGCCTCTTTGGCACATGGATTATTTTGAACTAAAGGCCTCTGAGAATCAGCAGATACAGAAAAAAAACTCTAAAAACAGGTCACACGTTTTCCTTTTGTAAAGGAAATTTCCTTTTGTGAAAGGCGTCCCCTTCTGTACCTGGAAGAGAACTCTTAACAACTGTCATTAATGGTGAAGGCACTGGTTTAAATCTGCATAACAAGCCTTAATAAGCAACAGTTGTGGCCAGGTGGGGTGGCTCATGCTTGTAATTCCAGGACTTTGGGAGGCTGAGATGGGTGGATCACCTGAGGTCAGGAGTTCGAGAACAGCATGACCAACATGGAAGAGCCACATCTCTACTAAAAATACAAAAAATTATCTGGGCGTGGTGGTGCATGCCTGTAATCCCAGCTACTCGGGAGGCTGAGGCAGGAGAATCGCTTGAACCCAGGAGGCGGAGGTTGCTGTGAGCCGAGATCGCACCATTGCACTCCAGCCTAGGCAACAGGAGCCAGACTCCATCTGAAAAAAAAAAAAAAGCAACAGTTGTTTGTTCATCATAGTGTTCCTGGTCACTTTTTCATAACTGTCCTTCTTCCCCTAAAGCCCTAACCCTCTTTGGCCTAAGATGATATATAAACCCAAGTTCTAACCACCCCTTTAGGTTCCTCATCCTTGAGTGCTTCCGTGTGTATGTGCGATGCACATGTTAATAAATATCTGTTTGTTTTTCTCTTGCTAATCTGTCTTTTGTCATTCTCATTTATAGAGCCTCAGCTGGAGATCCTAAGAAGGGTGGAGAACAGAGATTTTTTTCTGTCTCCTAGAGAAGATAACCTGCTTTACTTTAAGTGTACTGATTTAAATGTTAATCACATCTGAAACAGTATCTTCGCAGCGGCATGTAGGTAGACAAGTGCTTGCCAAACAATCAGACACCGTAGCTAGACAAGATGACACATAAAGTTAATCATTTGTCTCTCATGAACTCCAGTTTTAGCGCTTTACCAAATTCCTTCTTGATAAAGTCAGTGGTGGTGGAAGGTATCACTTCACATTGAAATTAACAAAGATAGAAAAATCTATGCATTTTTTATATGGTTTTAATTATTTTCAAAAAATTACACAAGGAATATATGATTATAGCCAAAGATTTAGGGTACATTGATCAAAAAATACAATTTAATTATAATACCACAATCCTAAAGTAACTGCTGTTATTTTTTTTACATGTAATATTCCAGTTCTTTTCTTATAATGGCATCCTATTTAGGGGAGAAAAAAAAATCTCTTCCTTCACCCATATTACGTTCTTCAGATGGGGTCCTATAAATTAGACTGGCAAGAGAGAAACAAATGGGCTTATTAACATGTATATTATGCTTACATATGGGAGCACCTAAAGATGAGTAAACCAAAGGCATGGCTAGATGGCTTATATACCATCTTAGGCTAAAACAAGAAAAAGGGCTTTTGGCTGCTAGGAGGGAGAGACCTAGGAAATGTATAGTAGACAAGGATTGTTTATTGAGGTTTGTTATGCAGGATTAAGTCAGTGCTTCTCCAGTAGAGAGCTGTTAAAAGTCCTCCCTTCCTGGTACAGGAAAGGGTGACATCCTTTACAAAAGGAAATTTCTTTTTTAGAAGGAAAACTTTTGACCTGTTTTTAGAGTTTTCCCTGTGTCTGCTGATTCTCAATGGCCTCTAGCTTAAAATAATCCATATGCCAAAGAGGCATGTTTTGGGGTGGCAAATCTGGCACCCTTCACCTACTCTACAGAATACTGTAGAACTTGTTTTTTGTACTTGATCACATGCCGAGTGAATTATTTCCAAGATAATACATATTCTTCTACTAAAACAGCATTCGTAATTGTCTTCATATATTCTATTGTGTAAATAGACCGTCATTTACCTAACAAACCCTTTACAGCTAGACATTTAAAACATTCCAAATGTATCCCCATTATATACAAGTCTACAATAAATGTCTTTGGTCATTTGTCTAATTGGTCTTGGTGCATTCATCTATTTATTTCTCTTTGATAAATTCCAGAAAGGGGATTACTAGGTCAACAGGTGTGCACATTTTTAAAAAGCTCTTGATACATCTTGACAAGCTGCTCTTCAGGAAAATACATCAATTAATAAAAGTACTATTGTTTTAACAGCATGTGTTTATCAGCTTATGTTACTTCCATATACTAATAAATATCTCTGAATCCTCTATTTTCAGAATTAAGCTTGAAAGAAAAGCTCTTCAGAAAAAACATAATTTTGAAGTACTAAGGAGAAGAAAAACTGGTTTAATCCTACGCTTTGGCTTTGAAGAAAATTCTCATTTTAGCATTTTTAAAAGATTAAATATATTTCCCTTCACAGATGCACCATTCTACTGTAAATTTGATAATGTATTACCTAAGAGTAAGGTGATTTAAGATGAGTAAATGAAAGGCATGGTTAGATGACTTATATACCAACTTAGGCTAAAACAAGAAAAAAGGGGTATGTAAGCATAATATGCATGTTAATAAGCCTGTTTTTCTCTTGCTAATCTGTCTTTTGCCAGCCTAATTTATAGTGCCCCACCTGAAGAATCTAGCATGGATGAAGAAAGAGATTTTTTTCCCTCCCCTACATAGGATCCTATTGTAAAAAAAAAATTGGAAAATTGCATGTAAAAACAAAAACAAAACAGCAATTACTTTAGGATTGTGGTGTTATAATTAAATTGGTTTTTTAAATCAATGTATCCTGAATTTTTGGCTATAATCATGTATTCCTTGTGCAATTTTTTGAAAATAAGAATTAAAATGACTTAAGAATACATGTATATGTATAAAAAGAGTAATGATGCTTAGTATTTGAGGATTGGCAAGCTGGATGAAATGAAGGCTAGGAGAGGATAACCAGATTTTCCAGTTCTAGAATTCACAAATTGAATACTTTTATA